CTCAGTTATGGTGAAGAGAGAAGAGACATCCAATTGCTCAGCAATCGTCCGGCCTATCAACTGGCACAGCGGTGTCGGTGGAGGTGAAGCCAAGGTGGCATTACCCCCACCAGCATCATGCCAGCAATGCGATCAACCAGGCAACCGGCCAAGTCAACAAAAGAACCACGACAACCAGCACTCATGCCGGTGTTGTGACTACACCCACTGACAGCCCGAAGCCTAATCACGCTGACGGTTCAACGGACGACACGTGTCGTCATCATGGTTTGGTAGCAAGCAGCAACTTTGACTGACGTCCTGGTGATGCGTACTATAGGAGTGATCCCTAGAAGTACGATCTTGGAGCGCATACGCCCCTCACACCCGGCCTGCCGCCGGCCTCCACCTTGACCTCACCCTCTGAACCTCAGCTTGTCCCTTTTTATTTGCCGCAAGACAGTCATGAGCACCACTCCTCGTGGTTGCTTATAAACCAGTCCTTTACACCACCTTCTGTTGCCTCAAATATACCCTTTTTTACCAATCAACGCATTTGCCTTGCTTCCCGTCTTCCAGTAGTTTGTGTTGACACAACCTCAATCTGCGCACTGTCGCCACCGCCACTACCACCAAATATTCTACGTGATTGATGGTTCACTGAGCAGAATGTGGACTAATTGCTAGGCTATTTCTATCCACAAACTCATTACTTCTCACCCTTGCACGCACATCACAGGCCGTAACCAGTAGTGAAGGTAAAAGACCTGCCTTACGCCCTTCGCTCCTTCGACTCCAGCAGTAGTCATTGGAATAGGTGTAGCCTGCGTATTTATTATGTATGGAGGGCTGTCCTTGCAGTGCCTCCCTGTGCCTAAATGCTACGCAATTCAGCAGTTTCTTCGATTCAAAAAGGGTAAAAAGTGGTGGGAGGAAAGACTCAGGCATCTGAGTTTTATGAAAAAGTGGCAGAAGGTGAAGGCAACCATAAGAAGCTAATATGAACCCCTAATAAATTTACAGATGGGAAAAATAAACAAGCCTCTGCTGACGTGTGGAAGGATTCTATCTTGTAGCATTGCTTCCACAGCAGTTGCCCTGATTTATAGCATTCAATAAAGTGGTGAAGGCCAAGAGTAGGTGCAAATTGGCTCAGACCGCGAGTGACTTAAATGCTAACGAGGAGTGCCACTTCAACATGATTACGAGTTGTGTCAAAGGTCTTTGTGGACCTGTCAAGTGCAGTCAACCCTCTCGCCACCTGATTGGCTCGCGGTGCTCCAATGAGAAGGCTTGAAAATGTGTGAGACTTGGGCCTATCCCTCTTTCTCAAATCCACCCCGCCAATGTGGAAGGAATGAGCTGTTCGTATTCTTATATATGTCTAAAGGATAGCAGCCTACATTGGTGGGACTTGTATGAGCTGTTCATGAGGTCAATCATGGAGGGTGAAGTGTATAAGAAAGCGGGTCAAACCCTCCATTATCCCTCCGCTATTAGTGAGCATTCCTGTAAATCTTCACCTAACTTGGCGAATTTTTTTGCGTCTGTACTGAAAAAATAATATTCTGAGCAAAAATCTGGAAAATAAAAATTTGTTTTAGGATGATCACACCGGATACTACTAATTAATATT